TATACTATTTCTGCCATATGGATATGAGACAAAAATCACCCCAAGAGCAAAGGTAATAACAAAATTCAGTAACTAGGAAGTGATGGATTTTTAGTATTTATTACCATAGTTGAATTTTTAACAGTGGTTGAGTTTAACAACAGTGCAAAATTACTGAAAATTTAGCAATCAACTCTTCTAAGGCTCATAGTTGAGGGCATAGGACACAATGGTGAGATGCTAGCCTGAACTTTAGGGTGTCAGGCCAGCTGAGACCTAAGAGGTCACTTAGCTAGGTCAAGTGGGACCAGGTGTTTAGGCCAGAGAAACGACACATAACAAGGTGGAGAATCATCACTTCAGCACTGAGACACTCAGAGAGACTGCTCTGGGGGAGTAGCTACTGTTCTAGGAAAAGGCCTCGAATTGGGACAAGCACTGGACCTCCAGGTGTAGGGTGCCTGGTGGCCCCAAAGATTTACAAGGAGGGAGTAACTGTGCATAGTGGGGAGAAGACAAGGGGTTGGGAGGCAGAAAGAGGGAAAAGAAGGAGAAAGCAGAGTCCTGGGTCCTCTCCTATGCAAACCCACCCTGGAACTGACCCCTCCCTCAGTTGTCAGTAAATGCTGTACCACTAAGAAGCAAATCACTTGAAGAGGGCAATTTCTTGCCCCCAAAAATATAAATAAAACTAAAGTAATGAAGGGATTGAGGGCAGAATGGACACATAGGCCCAGAAATGAGAAAGTACAGGGTCTCCTGAGAACTGAAAATGGTGCATTCCCTGAGCTGGGTGTGTGAGGCAGGAAGTGGGAGGAAGGCCAAGCCCAGAAGCCAGGTTGGCAGCACACATCCTGCTGTGTGCACAGCCAGGCCCACTGTACCACAGTCTGGTGCCCTGTTCTGGGCCTCTGCTTACCTCGGGTATGGGCACTCCAAAGTGAGCCCCTCAAAGTCAAAGCAATGCCCCTGGGGCCAGGTCTGGATCCCTTGCTCTTGACTCCTAGCGGCCTCTCCCAGGACCCAGAGGCCCTGCATGACTAGGCTCAAGCAAAGCTGTCTCTGAGGAGACTATGAATACTTGTCCCTTTGCAAATTCTGTCCTCAGGGCCCCAAAGCAAGGATAGCAAGGATTTCCCCTAGCCGCAGAATGTCCTCTCTTTGGACCCTTGAAGTCCATGCTGTGGTGACACAGCAGGTCTGGGGCAGTGACTAACCTGGGTTTAAAGTGAGTCTTTCCATGATGCCCAAAGCCTTGGGAAAAGCCCGCTCCTTCTGCAGGGGGGTTGCTTCCCCCATCTGCAGTTGGCTCATCCTAGAGTCAGAGTTCTCACCTTCCTCTTCCCCATTTTCTGAAGCCCCCAGACATCTCATTCCTATGGGAAAGGCCCTCAAAGCCCAGCTCTGAATCACCCAGCCCTTTTGCCCCTGAGCCCCTGCCTTCTGGAGGTGCAGATGCAAGGCCTGTCATTTACACATATCCATTTCCCAAAGCCTTCAGTATACTGGGGGGACACAGACAGTTGCAATGCAATGTGACATGCACCAGAATACAAATAAACCCAGGAGCTTGGGTACTAATCCAGCCTGGGTGCATTGGGAAAGGCTGCCCAGAGCTGGGGCAGGTGGGTGTAGAATTAGACTCTGAGTGGCACTCACCTGGCTGAGAAGCAGGGACGGGGTGTTCAGGCAGATGGGCTCACTGGTGCAAAGACATAGGAAAAGACGGCTCAGAGCATCTCATGAGTGTGCTGGTGTGGTAAATTATGCTATGATTTCCTTTTCTATAGCCTGATACAATGTCATGGCCCTGGAATTTACCTGGTCAATGAATTTGAACAGCAGTGACACCCATGTCATTTCCAGACAGAAAAGTGTGGTTCCAGAGCCAGTGTTCTCTTTCCCTACCTTCTGTCAGCTTGATTGACTGTAGTGAATGGAAGTCCCTGTTGGTCTGCAATGGACACCTAGTGTAACTGCAGCATAATCTAGCCTGTTCCTGATATCACTGGCATGGCTCAAACAGAGGCTGGTATAGAGAATATCAGGAGATAAGCCTGTGCCTCTCAGCTCCTTCCCTTATTGTTCTTTCTCCAGATCTCAGAGAGCTGCACAAGCTGTAATGGAGTGGATTCAAGTCCAACTCTGCCATTTACTAGCTCTGTAACCATGGAGAGTTTAGCTAATACCTTTGAGCCCAATGTTTTAAGGGTCTGTGAATTGAGAATAATAAAAATAATGCTATATCTTCACAGAGCTGCTGTGTTTCCTGAAGGAAGTCAGGCAGGATTCATACTGGATCTTCACTACCCCAATTACTATCCTTGGGCAGCTTGTTCCAAGTACCTCCATGCTTATTAAAATGCAAATTCCTTCCCTCACCTCCATCCCCACTGAACTGAATCAGAATCTCTACACAAGGGGCCCAGAATGTCACACTTTTAAGAAACACTCCAGATCATCTTTTGCATGTACAAGTTAAAGAATCACTGTCCTTAAGGATTTTTTTTTTTTTTTGTACTGGGGATCATACTCAGGACCTTATGCTCACAAGGTAGGCGGCAGCACCACTGAGCTAAATCTCCGGCCCTGTCCTTAAAGTTTTGACTGACAGTCAACCTCCACACTAAGGAAGAATTGGGGCTTGGGGCAGGCTTTGTCTGAGGGCAAGAATCTCCAGTCTGAAGCTGACCAAGTGTCCATGGTGCCTCAGATAAAAGCCTGAGCCTGGAAGACTCAGCATGACTCAGAGATGAAGTCAGTAGCTCACTGTATCCAACTTCAGCAGTTGTCGGCCCTGCAGCCATCCTAGATCAGCCCACCCCGACCAGCGTGTGAAGACTACTTCCTAGGCATGTGGTACCAGCTCCTTTTCCCCCAGGATATGGCTGCTTCTTAAGAGAACGCAGACCATATAAGATTCAGGCAGAGGCCTGGCTGCAAAACTAGTCTCTGATAAGAAGCCTTCTGAGTGTATAGAGATGTCCAAGGGCCTCAGGGGAGAAAGATGCTTTAAACTTGTGCTACTGCACAAACTGGTCCCAGCAGCTCTCCTCACCAGCAGCTTCCTCTGCCATAGGAATCCTTCTATGCCCTGTTCCAAAGCACACGTGCTCACGAACACAGTGGCTGCCTATGGCCACCTTCCTGTGGAATCCGGTCTTAATTTCTTGCTCTGGTTCTCAGATGCCTCCAAGTTCTGTTGCACCTTGTCTTTCCTGTCCTTTACGTCACCTCTTTCCCAGCCTACCAAGTTCTCTCTTCTCTCCCTTGTTCCTATAAATCTGGGAGGGGAGTTCAGGCTGAGCCCCTGTACTGGTGCTGCTAGTGTCCTAGGAAACCCTCTTTAGCATACCATGAAACATGGTACAAAAAGCCGGCCCTCTTGCCTCAGGGAGTCCAAATCTGTGGCCCAATTTGGCCAAACCCAGAGTTCCACCACAGGACCAGGCCTGGGCTGAGCCCAGAGGACTGAGCCCCTTTGCTGGGTTTCATCCCCTGCCTATCCTGTTTCTCTCCCTTCCTCATAGATTTCTTCTCCAGAGAGAACACCCTCAGAAGTCACCTGTAGGAAACTTCCTGTCTCAGGCATTGCATCCAAGAAGACTTCCTGTCATTTGTTTTTTGTTTGTTTGTTTGTTTTTGGTACCTGGGATCGAACTCAGGACCTTGTGCTTGCAAGGCAGGCGGTGGAACCACTGAGCTAAATCCCTGGCCCTCCTGTCACTTGGGAAATTACTTTGATGCCACAGTAGCCTCAAATGACACTTCCAGCAAGCTGCCCCAGAGCTCACCAAACAGAAAGGCTTGAATTGCCCTGCTCATCTAATCCATGTAACACATGCAGCACAGCAGGAAGCAAAGGAAAGGAGATGGGACAGGTGGACATACTTAGAACAGGTGAAGACAGGTAGAAGAACCGCCCTGTGACTTCCAGGTCACATCACATTCACACATCCGGTTCCCTCTCTGCTCCAGCCACCCTCCCACTGGTGTGGTTACAGGGGCAGGGTCGATGTCCCACAAGAGGGACAGCTGGAAGGAGATGCCAGGGGTCAACATGCAATCTGGCTGTACCGGGAAAATTCTGGGGTGGGTACACCCCTTCACATGGCAGTACCCCAGTTTTGCTGCTGAGCAGCTCTCGGTTTTATCTATGTTTCTTGGACATGTGTGTCATCACTGGGTGGCCAATTTAAGAGTAACATTTCTTCAATCTAGAAAACGCAGGATCTATGCTTTATAAACATTTAAGGTTTACTTGGTCTGTTTCTTGTTATCTATAAGAAATATTTTCATTTCTTTCATCACTTTACACTCAACACAAATTCCAGCTAGGCATGGTGGACCACACCTATAATCCCAGCACCTGAGAGGCTGAGGCAGGAGGATTGCTGTGAGTTCTAGGCCAGCCTTGGCTACCTGGTGAGTTCAAGGCCAACTTGAACTACACAGCCAGACCCTACTTCAGAAAACAAAAACAAACAAACAAGCAAAAACTCCACAAATTCCTCTTATTTTGCATCTATCTCATAAGCAGAATTTCTCTCATTTCCTACAGCAGAATCAAATATTTTTAAATAATGCAACCACAAGACAATCCTTTTTTCCAGAGTTACTACCTCTTATCCATAGATGTCATAGTTCTTTGGCAGCAATAGCCAATCTAGGATTTCACTCAGGATTTGAATGCTTGTCTGGCTCCAAATCTGACACATGTTCCCTTGTGCTATGCCATGTGTCATTTGGGAGCGTGGCTTACCTCCCCTACAGAGGGCAGGAGTAGGGACCGTATCTTTTCTTTTTTATCTCTATATTGTGTTTTCTCTCCCTCCCTCCTTCTCTCTCTCTCTCTCTCTCTCTCTCTCTCTCTCTCTCTCACTCACAGACACACACACACACATACACACACACA